TTGTATTACTATAAATATATTTTATTATATTATTATATAGTAATACAAAACTATTTATATCTTAGCATCTAGTGATTAGATTTTTATGATTTTGGACTTGTTCGAATCCTCTTAATGAGAAGATTATTTTGGTAGTTAAATTATCCAAATCAGTCTAGTAAATTAAAAGTTATTCAATATTAAATATTATATATAATTTTAATTATATATTTTAATAAACGTGAAAACTGATTGGCTAGCAGATAAGGGGATAGGGTGGGTTTGAACGATTTATTAGTAAACCCTAATCAGCTGATTTCTGGAAGTCCCCTTATCAATATATATTAATCTGTATATGATTGAGAATTTTTTTGGTAAAGTGATATAGTGTGAAATTCTTTATCCAAATATTAGTTCGTAGACAATAGTATAGATATTATATATTATAGGTTAGATTCTAAACATTTGTATTTATTTTTCATATATATTAATAAAAAATTTTCTTGGCAAAAACTCATTAACAATATTAACAGGTTAATATTTATTTTTAATTATTTGAATATATATAGATATATAATATATAACAATATTATATTATAACAGAGATATGCAATCTGAAATAGATTGATTAAGGCAACATATTGCTAAGCTTGAGGCTAAGAATACTATAATTCCAGAACTTAAAAAAAGAGTTGCTAAGCTTGAGACTAAGAATACCAAGATTCTAGAACTCAAAAAGAAGATTGTTGAAGTTGAGACAAGACTAGTAATATTAGAACAGAGGCTATTACAAAATGATAATACTCCTAATAATAGTGCTTCTAATGATAATACATCTAACTTCAATTTGGTTACAGGTTATAAGAAACTATTAGAAGATAAAGAGACTAACAATTTCTTGAATAAGGTTTATAAGAAAAGAATTGGTGATGATATTAGAGAGAAGAAACTACAGCGTAAATTAGCTAGCAAAGACAATATCTCTGATATTGCATATATAATAGAAAGTATTAATAATGTTGAGAAATTATATAAGCCAAAGACTTACAATTGTACTTTTTCAAAATTATCACACGGGACAGAGGTCATTGTAAATATCTTCAAGGAACAAATCTAAAAAAGTATTGTGAATATCTCAATTTTATCACGTGATATAAAACTTGTTAACAAAGTTAACAGATTTTTTGAAAATTCAAAATTATTATATGAGGAAGAAACTTTTATCAATACTTCACTTACCTTCTACCCAAAGATAGAGACAAAAGTAGATACAGAAAGACTGGAGAATAAAGAGGGGTCTCAAAGAGACTAACCACCTTATTAGATTCTTCTAATAGCTTATTACCGGCCAAGAATAATATGAATGATGTGAATGATTGAACATTCTCAAATATAACTATCGAATTTGTATAGGATTTGTTGCAGAAACTATTTTTACCAGACAGTCAACTTAAAACTATAAAGTTTTCTCTACTCAGAACTCTGATTCTTAGATCAATAAGTATCAAAAAACTTGCTAATTTATTCTGCTAAGTGAATATTATAAGGAAAAACAATTATAGCAAAGCAAGAGAAATCACAATCTGATATTTATTCTCTGAAAGGTTCAAAGATAAAGTTGTAAAGCTTAAGTCTAATAATAAGAAACTTATAGATCAAAGTATAAGAAAACAGATTTATAATGAAATGAAGCCATATCTCTCAGGTGTTTCAGATAAATATTTATATATAATAACCTATAAAGCAAGAAAAATTAATAAGCTATTTGGTTATAAATATGATTCTGTAAATCTGAAAAAGAATAAAAACATAGGTGCATATATGATTCGGCAAGTCACTTGTAGTACTAACAAAATTTCAAAGCTCACTAATTCTCAAATTGAATATATTATAGAACAAATCAAATCGAAGACAATCACTGATCAGAGCCATATAGACAAAATATTCGAGACTATAGCTACTACTTCAACTTATAACTCAGATGATATTTTTAGTAACATCTTGGATAATACAGTTTATTTTAAGGAAGAAGAAGGGACAATGAATTAATTGAAGATGACTCTAAAAAGTCTGAAGTAAGTGCACCAACTATGCCTATACTAGCTGAGAACGATTTGATAAAATGATCAAAAAAGCTTTTGAGAAGAATGAGGCTAGAATAGAGAAAGAAAAGCAGAACAAAATATCATCAAATATAGTAACTCTAGCTAAAGCAGATAATTACGATGATGTGTATTTTGATGAAGAGGATTTAAAGAAGAAAGAAGAAGAATCAAACAAAGATAAGCCAGATAATGAAAATAATTCTAGTAATTCTAAAGAAAAGATACCAGATGAATCAAATAATGATAGATATAGTGAATGTGGTAGATATAATGAATATAGTGTTATAGAACAGTTTATTATTTTATTAGTTTATTATTCTGATATTATATTTTATTATTTATTTTATTATTAT